TGCATATGGGGGTGGGGGCCACGGTGGGGGCGGGCCACTGGCTCCTCCCCTTTGCCAAAGACAGCCCAGCTTCTCCCCTCCTTTGTGTCACCAGCAGCTCTGTGCGGTGGCACAGAAACGCCTGTGATGGAGCGAAAGAAAATGGGTTGTGATCCCAAGAGGACGGTGTTGGCTTCCCATGTCCCAAATAAGAACGGCACCGGGGGGGGGGGGGGGGCTCCTGGCTCGGGCTGCAGGTCCATCTACTGGGTCCACACCACACAACATGGCCGGCCTTAACCCTCGCATAAGCCCCTCAGCCGGGCCCACGGGGCAGGACAGTCCACCCGCTGGGGCCCCCGCCCACGCCTCTTCTGCAGCCCTCTTTGCAGCCACGCCATCGAGCGGAGCTGCTGCGCGTGTGATGCAGGAACTGCAGAGAAGCACCGGTCGCCTGGCCAGCCTCGCATCCACCCGCGGTCACGCTGAGGGAGGAAATAAAACACTGCTGGTTTTGGAGGAAAGCTGACCTAATTCCGCACGCTGGTCTGGCAGGTGGACTTAAGCCAGGCCCGCGCGGTCTTGGAGGAGTGCCTGTTGCGTTCCCATGGACGCTTCTGTGGCACGGGGTTAGTCACTGGAGCAGCTGGGGTCAGGATGCGGCCCTTGGCCGATAACGCCTCTGTTGCTAAGGCAGAGCTCTCCCGAAGGCCCAGATCCCGGTGAGTCAGCAGCTCTCCGACCCTGAACGGAGAGGGGCGGAAGCGGGGCGAGGCGAGGCACCGAGGAGCCCGGGAACCGGGAAGTCCCGTTGAGCAAGCTCCAAGGCCTTGCTCCCCATGCCAGAAAGGGGTCCAGAGGCAGGCAGGCAGGCAGGGAGGGCAGCCGTGGGGTGGGAGAGGTGCAAAGCCGGTGCCAGAGGCTCCGCTGCTGAGCAAGAAGCGGCCTGAGGCTCCGGGGGATGCGACCCCACCGACCCGGCCGGGAGCCGGACTCAAGCTGCTTTGCACGTCGCGGCTTCCCGTTCTTCTCGCGCTCACGATGGGAGAAAGCCGAGAGGGCCCCCAGAGTGTCCCTGTGGTGGGGCCACGTCTTCCTGCCCCCGGGGCTGACCCGCCCCTCTCAGCCAACCCCAGGGTCTCTCTCTCTCTCCCCCCTGGGCGCCCGTGCCAATGAGTCGCGGCTTCTTAGCCGTGCGAACCCCAGGCAGCACTTGGCAGCCCCCGGGCGTCGAGCTGTGGGTGCCTCGCCATCGTTTGTCGTCTCCGCCGGATCCAGACATGAGCGGCAACCCAAGCCCCAGCCCTGGAGCGCAGTTGGCGAGGGGTTTCGCTTGCTTCCCGGGTGGGCGCGCCCCCTGCCCCCCTCGCCGCGCTGGGGGGGCCGGGCTCCCCCGCAGGGGCGCTGTCCCCAAAAGTCGCGGCAATTGTCCCACATCAGGAACTTTCTGAGCTGCGTCACGTTTGTGCGATGAAATGCACGAGCGGCTGAGGGCTCCCAGCCAGTCTTGGCGTGAAACCAAGGGCTGGGACGGGCGGGGGAACTCCCGCGAAAATCGCCAGCACCTCGGGGGCCGAGGCAAAATCCGCCTCGTGCGCTGCCCCCCGTCCAGCGTGCAGAAGGCAGCACCGTGCTCTCCGCGGGGGCACGCGGCTTGCTGGACTTGCCCACCGCCTTCGGGACTGCTTGCTGCGTGTGGGCGCCATGGCCGGGCCCTCCCCAGCCTCGGACGGCCTGGCCCGTGGCGTGGCGTGGTGTGGCGTGGCTTCCCCGAGCCCCTCCAGCCCAGGAAAGGGCAGCGGAGGGGCTGAAGGCCGGGGGGGGGGGGCAGCCGAGCCGGCCGGGTGCTCCTCCTGCCCGCCCACAGGGGCGGTCACCAGGGCCTGGCTCAGATTGCACCTGTGCAGGCGGTCAGAGAGCCTTTCCCAGCCAGGTGTCCCTCAGGTGTGTTGGAGCGGCCACTCTGGCTGGGCAGGGAGGGAGTCATAGCCCAGCGCGGCTGGAGGGGGCCGGGCTGGGGAAGGGTCCCCAGCTCAAGAGGGAGACGGGCCCGCCTCCCTCCATCCCTGCCTCCGCCTGGCCGCAGCAGCCTAGGAAGGGGCGCCCAGGTGGGGCAGAGTCAGGGGCTCTCCCGGAGCTCAGAGACAAGGCCACCTGGATGCGGCATCCGTAGCTTCCCAGAGGAATTCCGTTCTCAGAGGATGCTTGGGGGGCAGGGCAGCCATGACAACCGAATTCCAGAATAATTCTTGCTCATTTGCAGCAGGAGTAAGCCAAGGAAACCCAACCAACCCGGGACAAACCTTCTACCTGCAGAGAGTTTAGGCCGCCTGTCGAGCCAGGCCAAGGCCTAGCCAGCGGAGGGGTGGGAGGGACACAGGGCTGCCGTGGCTGTTCTGGAGGGGGAGAGAAGGGGGCAATTCTGCCACTCCTGGGGCTGGAGTTATTCCCCTGCTACACTTCTGGAAAAGGAGATCAGGATATATAAACATCTGAGAGAAGCCATCTGGTGCCTTTCTTCCCTGGATAGTTTTCAGATGAATCAGACGATTTCATGGAAACGGCAAAAGGCCAAGGAAAGGGAAGAGGAAAAGGAGAGTAGGCGGACCGAGGGAACGGGGGTGAAAAACCTTACACTGCAAAAGTCAAATATATCCTGGTGACTAGGAAGGCATTATGTTTTCCCCCAGTTCACGTGATGTGCCTGGAAGGGTACATTTTGTGGGGAAAGTTTTGTTTGTTGAGGTTGCTTTGGAAGTGGGAAACAGATGCCCATTTTCCGTGCCATGGCTTGCTGAAGGATATTCCACGGCATCCTCCTTGTGACAGAATTACACCAATATTTGGACTGGGGCTTGAGAAATGCTAGGCAGAAAATGACGTAAAGAACTGACAGCATCGGCCATAAAAGGGGATTCCCAAACATTCCATAAATTCTTTTAGGAAAGAAAGCTGCTCAGGGCCGAGAAGCCAGGGGAATTGGGGAGGGGGCTGGTGAGGGGAGAGGAGGGTCTCGGGGGACCAGCTTGCCTGGTAGCTCCTCTCTCTCCTGCCCCTCGCTGATGCAGGGGCTGTTGCTGACTGCTCCCCAATGAGGGAGCCTTCTGCACACGCTCAGGAGTGCTGTCCTCTGTAAGCATGATGGAACTGCATGGCACAGGATGCAACATCCAGAGCGGAGCCTGTTTCCGGGCTGCTGGGAGCCGTGCTTCCCGGTTCGTTCAGGTGATGCCTCCCGGGCGTGCGCACCGTCTCCCACCGAATATCGTTTCCAAGTGTGTGTCACAGACAACGGCAGGGGCAGCCTCATTCCTGCTGTTCCTTTTGAAATCGTCCCTCTGAAACTCTGGGTGACTCACACTACCTTTCTCATCATGGAATGCTGCTTGTTATTTTTTTATTTTCTCTATTCTTAGAACATTATTTCATCTCTGCCCAAGCTTCCCAGTTCTGCTTAGTAAGGACCATCTGAGGCTCGTCTTGTCGGCCTGCTTACAGGTCTTTGGTCTCGGAGAAGACTTTCCCTGTGTCGCTGTAGGGGCTACGATGGCTGAGGTGGGACGAGCGGGTGTCCTGCCGCAGCAGCGGGTTGGACCTGGGGACCTTCCTGGCCCCTTGCCAGGAGTCTGCGATCGCCTTGTGGCTTCCTGCAGCCCAGGGGACCGGCACCTCACCTGGAGGAAACGGTGCTGGAAGAGGCTGCAGCACGCCATGCCTCCGTGCGCAGCTTGGGCGCTCCCCAGAAGCAGCCAGCTGTGCCCTGTTGGAAAAAGGAAACGGGGCTGGGTGGACCAGAGCGCCCGGAGCCGCGCCAGGCCCACCTGGTCCTCTTCCTTTCGTAGTTCTAGCTTTAGCTGAGCCAGGCCAAGCCAAGGTGCAGTCCCAGAAAGCTTCAGCTGCGGGACGGTGGAGACGTGTGGCAAACAAAAACAGAATTTCATCTCGGTGGCCCGGCTCTGTGCAGGGAAGCTGCCCGAGCGCACAAGGAACGCCTCCGGGGAGCAGCCACGCCGTGGGACTGGCTCCTGGCACGCAAGAAGGACTCGCGAGCGGCCTTTCCAAACGTGAGCCCAGGGGTGGGGGAGAACGCACGGAGCTTAGCACCGTTTTCACTGGGCTGGCTGGGGATGCTGGGAGTTATAGTCCAGCACCTCTCTCTCCCCCTCTCCCTCTCCAATGCGCGCTCTGGCTTTGCACTTGCGTGTGCATCACCTTGCACAGTGTGGGTGCTTGGCCTGCAGGAGCCGAGCGTTGGAGCTCCGGCCGGCCGGGGTGGCTGTTGGCTTCCCGGGCTTCCCGGCCCCTCGGAGCGGCAGGAAACCAGCAGCCACGGCGGCTCAGGGCCGGGTGGGCGGGGAGGTACGTGTGTGCGGGCACTGGCCGGGTCTGTTTGCCTTCCCAGGCGGGGAGGCGAGCGAGGCGGGTGGCAGTGAGGTCACCGTCACGAGGGAAGCCTCAGGTTGTTCATCCCCGCGCTTATGCAAGGCGGCCCGCCCAGCCCTTTCCAGGAAGAGACCTACCCGGCCCCCCTCGAGCCCCCTGGGGCCTCTCCCGCCGCTCACCTGCCCCTGGCCCCAGAGGGAGCATCTCCAAGGTGCTGGGAGCAAGCCCTGAGCAGCAGGGCTGGGCAGGGGGGTGATATTTTTCTGGGGAAAAGGCAGAAGCTGTGGTGGGAATGCACGGGCCAGCCGCTTCTCCTAAAGCGCAGGCGCAAGGCCGCCTGTCGAAAAAGGAAGCCGGGGCACGGGCCGGCCCGCCTGACTCAGCCCTTCCCCTCATCCCGGGCACCGGGTGCAAAGAGAGCTGCCGCGTTCCTCCGCACGGGGCTTGCGCCGTGCCCGGCCCGCTCGTGCCCCAGGGTCGGGGGCAACGTGA